CGGCTCCGGCCCCGCAGCCTCAGTCAGCATCACTTCCCAGCCCTGGGCTCGGCTGAGTCATGGGGCTTCCCCGCGCTGAGTGAGGCCAGCACTTCCTGTGGTCCCGGGGAATTCTCCAGAACCTGTCAGAGGCAGGCTCTCGAGGAGCCGGGGACCCTCCCTGAGAGTCTCCAGCTACCTCTGCCCCCTGTGAGGGCTGCTCTGGGAGGTGGCTTTGGGTGCAACACCCCTGAGGCTGCGTGAAATTGACCCGGAGTGTCTGGAGACCACGGGGTTGAGGGCTGGGAAGGGGTGAGCCCGGGCCACGGCCAGGCATGCCCTGTAGCTCTGTGGCCCCTGCGGTGTGTGCTCGGTGGACAGTGGGCTCAGCCTCCTGCCCTGCTGACCTGTGATGGTGGCAGGTGGGGTGTGGCCTGGCCCCAGAGGGGGGTGGGCCTGGGGCACCTGTGACCGCAGCCCCTGGGTCTGGCTCCTTCCCCTCCGCTGCGCGTGACCGACACGCCTGGTGACCGCGTCCTCTCTGTGCAGCCGGAACCTGCAGGCAGGGACGCCTCTGTCCAGGCTGCTGTTGAGAAGCTCCAGGAGGAAAACCGGCTGTTGAAGCAGAAGGTGACTCACGTGAGTGTCCCGCAGGCCCTGCCCTCGGGCCCCTCTGGCTGACACAGTCTTTCCCCTAAAAGGACCAGCAGAATGTCCTGTGGTTCCCACGCCCGTGTTCCCATGTCCTTAGAGGGGGCAGGAGTCACCATCCAGAGGCTCCTGAGGCAGGGAATGTCCACTTGTGTTTAAGGCGCTGCTTGTGCGGAGCGAGGAGAGGCCCCTCCGTTCCCGGGGACCCCTCCCTCGGCTCCTCCTCGCCCATCAGTAGCTTCCGGCTCAGTGGGCAGGAGAGAGGCCCTGCCAGCCGCTCACTGCACTTGCCCGCAGGTGGAAGACCTCAACGCCAAGTGGCAGCGCTACGATGCCAGCAGGGATGAGTATGTGCGGGAGCTGCGGGCCCAGCTGCGGGGGCTGCAGGCTCCCCAGCCCGAGGCGGAGCTGATGAGGAAGGAGATCGCCAGGCTCAACCGGCAGCTGGAGGAGAGAATCAGCGAGTGTGCCGGGGCCGCGAGGGAGCTGGCGGCGGCGCGGGAGCGGGCGCAGATGCTGGAGCAGCAGGTAGGAGGGGCAGGACAGGCGAGTCCCTCCCTGTGCAGCCTGTGATGGCTGAGGGCCTGCTCTCTTCAGGTCCTCGCCTACAAGGACGACTTCACGTCGGAGAGGGCGGATCGGGAGCGGGCGCAGAGCAGGATCCAGGAGCTGGAGGACGAGGTGGCGGCCCTGCAGCGCCAGGCACGCAGACAGGTGGGTGTGAGGGCCGCCGTGAGCGCTCAGGCCTCTCTCCTTCCCATGAACGCCAAGGCCTCTGTCTGCTCAGACCCGTTTCCCTCTCCGGCAGAGCCAGCCCTGGCACCTGGCACGGGCGCGGTGGTGGAGACCAGCCACCTGTGGTCCTGTCTGCGGAGGAGGTTGGCGTGGGGTGTGACAGCAGGTGGCCGCCCCCGGGGCTGTCTGCCTCCGGTGCTCACTGCCATGCACCCGGGGAGCACACCCGTATCCAGGAAGGAGACCTGTGGCCCCAGGTGCCGCTTGGCCTCTGCTCCTCCTCCTGCCACCTCTGTTCTCTTTTGGGCTCTGGGCCAAGTAGGAAGCAGGGTGAGGATGGATGAGCCGGCACAGCCATTACATCCTCTGCCTTTTCTCCAGGACCCCCAAGAGCCAGGCTCCTGCCGGATCCGCACGGGGAGCAGAGCACCTAAGCGCGCAGAGAACAATGCTTCAGAGTTGGTGGTGCCTGGTGGCCAGAGGCCTGTGTCTGCACCCCAGGGCCTGGCCCCCCCTGCAGAGGGTGGGTGCCCTGGAGCTGCCCGGAGAGGCCAGGGGGACCTGCAGTGTCCACATTGCCTGCAGTGCTTCAGCGACGAGCAGGGCGAGGAGCTCTTCAGACACGTGGCCGAGTGCTGCCTGTGAGCCAGGCGGGGGACAGGCCGGTGCTCTCGGCCTGCGACAGTGGGACCCCGAGATGCAGGCGGAGGGTGCTCTGGCCTTCACCTTGGTCCCCCTTGGGCTGTGGAACAGAGGCTGGGCTTTGGGTCCTCAAGCTGTCAGGCCGGGGCCGGAGCAGGAGCTCACAGGCCAAGGTGATGGTCCCGCCCCCACCTGCACCTGGGACGCTGCATCTCGCGGGAATAGGGGGCTCCCCGAGGGAACCACACGTTGGGTCCCAGGGTGGAGGGGCACCCCAGGTTTGGAGAGCCGAGCACTGCGGCCTCGGCAGGGCCATGAAATACACTGCGTTGCTTAGTGTCTGTCACACGTCCAGAGGTGAGAGCCGTGTGCTTTGTAGCCACTTATTTTTATAATAAATGCGTTTGCTGCAGTGGCTGCTGAGGCTGCAGGGTGGGGCCTGGGGCGAGGGGCCCAGCAGCACTTCACCTGGGCAGGAGCCAGATCAGCGGATGAGAGGCCTGCCTCCTGCTCGCCACCTCCCGGGGGACACCCTCTTCCCACTTCCCTTGAGGCAGGGACGGCGGCTGGGACAGCTGACTTCCGTCAGGGCTTCTGTTCCTCACACGCACAGGGGCGCGCGGCCCCACCTCTCCCTCTTCTCTCTCGGCTCCACTTCTGGCAGTTCCCACGCCGATGCCAGCGAGCTCCCGCCTGTGCGTCTGTCCAGGGTGCTTCTCATTTCTTTACAAGCCTCACTTGCATCTTTTTTGTATCTTCCACTCCTCCCTCCGTCTCCTGCTTTCTGGCGATTCCCCTGCAGACACAGAACTTGATTCCACGCTCGCAGGCGAGTAGGTCCGAGGGGACGCCGCAGGTCTCCAGGGCTCTGTGCAGCCCCTCCTGTCTGGAACGCTGCCCCCCAATTCCAGCCCCTCGGCCGCCCCAGGTGCCAGCCTCTGCTGCTTCCGCAGGCAGCCCCGCTGGGCTCTGTGTACTTCCTCTCTCAGTGCTGGGCCTGGAACGGCCCCATATGGACCCTCAAAAGACCCCAAATAGCCAAAGAACACTTGAGAAACAACCAATTGGGAGGTGCCATGCTCTTTGATATCAAACTGTACTGCAAGGCTACGGTAACCAAAGCAGATCAGCACCAGCACCCAAAATCCGGGCCAGTGGAACAGCCAGCCAGGTAAATCCTCGCTCAGGTGCGGTTACTCTCTGACACAGGAGGTGAGAACATACAGTGGCGTAAAGCCAATACATAAAGTAAATGGAAAAACTGGACCGATACATGCAAAAAAATGAAACTTTCTTACACCATATACAGAATAAGCAAGTGTAGCAGCTGAAATCATAAACTCCGAGAGCAGCGATTTTTAACCAGTGTGCCACAAGAATTTTTAAAATGCAATACCTGACCTCTTCCCCCTTAGGTTGTCAAGTAAAAGAATGACAGAGCCAACACAATAGCTATCTGGTGAATGAACCAAAATGATACCCATTTTTTTGTCAGATGGGCAAAAAAATACATTCTTTTATTTTAGTAATTAGTTTGTGTGCCATGAGAGGAAAAAGGTTGAACCGCTGACATACAAACAGGCATTGAGTTTTCTGACATTGCTCTTAGCAATATCTTTTTGGATATGTCTCCTCAAGCAAAGGCTAAAAAAATAAACAAATGGAACTTCATCAAACCACGAAGTTTTGCACAGTGAAAAAAACCAACAAAACAAAAAATCCTAACAAATGAGAGAAGACATTTGCCAATGATACAGCCAATGAGGGGTTAGTACCCAAAATGTATAAAGAACTCATACAACTTAACACCAAAAAACTCACACCAATCCAATTGAAAGTGGGCAAAGGAACTGAATAGACACTTCTCCAAAGAGGACGAGTAGCCAAGAGACATATGAAAAAATGTTCAACATCACTATCACCAAAGATGCAAATTAAAACCATGAGGTGCCACCTCACACCCGCCAGATGGCTGCCATTAATACATCAATCCTTTCGCCGCTGCGGCAGCAGCCAGGAGGATGCTCGGGCTTCAGAAGAGGCTGGCCTCCAGCGTCCTCCGCTGCGGCAAGAAGGTCTGGTTGGACCCCAATGAGACCCATGAAATCGCCAACGCCAACTCCCGGCAGCAGATTTGGACGCTGATCAAAGACGGGCTGATCATCCGGAAGCCTGTGACTGTCCATTCCCGCAGGAAGGGCAGGCATGTGGGCAGAGGTAAGTGAAAGGTACTGCCCATGCTCGAATGCCCGAGAAAGTGACCTGGATGAGGAGGATGAGAATTCTTCGCCGGCTACTCAGAAGATATCGTGAATCTAAGAAGATCGACCGCCACACGTACCACAGCCTGTACCTGAAAGTGAAGGGTAACGTGTTCAAAAACAAGCGGATTCTCATGGAACACATCCACGAGCTGAAGGCAGACAAGGCTTGCAAGAAGCTTCTGGCTGACCAGGCCGAGGCCCGCAGGTCTAAGACCAAGGAAGCCCACAAGCGCCGTGAAGAGCGGCTCCAGGCCAAGAAGGAGGAGATCGTCAAGACTCTGTCCAAGGAGGAAGAGACCAAGAAATAAAGCTTCACCTCTCTTACCTGTACATAGCGGCAATTACATGGTTCAGTCATTCAATAAAAGCAGCCTTCATCTAAAAAAAAATACAAAAAAAATATACATCAACCTAAGTGCTGGCGAGGACGTGGAGAAGGGAACCGTAGTGCTCTGCAGGTGGGAGTGCAGACTGGTGCAGCCACTGTGGAAAACAGTATCGAGTGTCCTCCAAAGATTAAAACTGGCCTGGCTGGTGTGGCTCAGGGGTGGAGCGTCGACCTGTGAAGCAGGAGGTCATGGTTCGATTCCCAGTCAGGACACATGCCTGGGTTGTGGGCTTGATCCCCAGTGCGGGGCGTGCAGGAGGCAGCCAATCAATAATTCTCTCTCATCACTGATGTTTCTATCCCTCGCTGAAATCAATAAAAATACATTTTAAAAAATTAAAAATGGAATTGCCTTATGACCCAGCGATTCCACTTCTGGGTATTTATATGAAGAAAACAAAAACCCTAATTAAAAAAGATAAACATACCCCATGTTTGGTGCCTGGGAAGCCCATTTTCATTGCAGCTTTATCCACAATAATCAAGAAGTGGAATATGCCTGGTCCATGGACAGACACGGTAGAGATGTGGGACATACATGCGATGGGGTCCTACATGTGCATAAAAGGAATGGAAGGTCACCATCTGCAGCAACACGGATGGACCGAGAGGGCACTCAGTGAAATACACTGAGGGGCCAGATTATTATGACCACCTGACGTTTGTAGGCAAATTAGCTATGATTTCGTGCTGAAGTTGCTGGAGGCCAGACCATTATAAATAGGGAAGCAAGTTGTTTACCACGACAGTAGAAGTCATTTTTTTCTGAAGATATGGGTAAACAAGGCGATTTAACAGCCTTTGAACGTGGGATATATTTGAACGTGAGTGGCCAGATTATTGACCACCCCATCAGTACTTCGTTGGGCCACCTTTTGCCTTCAATACTGTGGCGATTCTTCTTGGCATTGACTCCACGAGAGGTTGAAAGGTGATGCGAGGAATCTGACACCATGTCTGATGAATAGCACTGTCCAGTTCTGTGAGATTTGATGGTTGTGGAACCAGCTGCCTGGTGGCTCTTTTAACTTCGTCCCACAAATGCTCAATTGGATTGAAATCTGGTGATGGTGGGGGCCACCTAAGCAAGGTAAAGTCTCCCTCATGTTCTTGAAACCACTCCTGCACAATACGAGCACCGTGGCATGGCGCATTGTCTTGTTGGAAGAAGCCATCTCCATTGGGATATGCCATCAACATGATAGGATGAACTTGATCAGCAACGATACTTAGGTATGTTGTGCTATTCAGACGTTGTTCCACACGAATTAAAGGGCCCAAATCATGCCAGGAAAACATGCCCCAAACCATAACACTGCCCCCACCAGCTTGAAGGGTTGTACTCATGCATGTGGGGTGCATGATTTCATGCTGTTTCCGCCAAATTCTCACTCTGCCATCTGCATGATGCAACTGGAAACTGATTCATTGGACCACATGACTTTTTTCCAATGCTCGACTGTCCAATCCTTGTGTTCCTGTGCGAATTAGAGACGTTTTATCTTGGTAACTGCAGACAGCAAAGGTGTTCGAACAGGCCTTCGGCTTCCATATCCCATACAATGCAGTGTACAGCTAATTTGCCTATAAACGTCAGGTGGTCATAATAATCTGGCCACTCAGTGTGAGGCAGAGAGGCAAGCACCATGAGCTCACGCACACGGAATCTAAAGAACACAACCAACCAACAAACAAACAAGACACAGACTGACAGGGGGATGTACATAAAAATAATAAATTTAAAAAGTAAAATTACTAGCTGAGGAAAAGATCAAAACCTCTCCGTGTGACGGGCTCCTGGCGTGGCACTTCAGGGCAGCTGGGCTTCCACGCGGTCACGCGGCCCCAACCAGCATTGCAGGGCACAGGCGAAGCTGCAAAACAAGAGCCACCTCCAGGCAGGACGCTGGGCCTCAGACCCGCTCCCACCCTCCCAGAGGGGACACTGCCCTGTGCTGCCCCTGCTCAGACACGGCCGCAGGCCCTGGCCAGTTGGTTCGGTTGGTTGGAGCATCATCTGTTCACCACAAGGTTTCCGGTTGATTCCGTCAGGGCACATACCCAGAGTGTGTGCAGGTTCCATCTCCAGCCCGTCGTGGGGGAAGGCAACCCATCGATGTCTCTGTCGCCCCCTCCCTTCCGCTCTCTTTCAACACCAATGGGGAAATGCCCTGAGGTGAGGGTTAACAACAGCAAACGCCCCCACCGCGCACAGGATGCCAGGGTGGAGTCTGAGGCCCCCAGGTGTCCCTGCGTGGACGCCAACGGCACTGACACTTCAGCTGGCCTGTGTCCCCCTCTGCAGGGTCCTCCCGGGAGCCACGTGCCACCTGAACTAACAAGCCCCTTGGCCACACTGGCTCCTGCCTGCCCTGCTCCCTCAGCTACTGCCCACCCTCGCGCCCTGCAGCCAGTCCCAGCCTCCCTGCCCCATGCCTCGGCTACTCTTCCCCTCCCCCCTCCACGCTGGTTGTGGGGCTCTGACCCTCTGTCTGCCCTCGTTCCGCGGTGGGCTCAGCCTGTGTGAGGCCTACGCGACTGACCGCAGCCCCCAGGATGGCAGCACTGTCCCTCTCGGAGCTCAGGCCGGAGCCCGAGTCCTTGCCTCCTCTCCTTCTCCACCTGCGCCCTGTCCCTCTGGCAGGAAGCCTTGTGGGCTCAGAACCCTCGAGGCCAGAACACTCCAGGCCGGCCCACCTCCCCTTTCCCCGGCTCCGAGCCCGCCAGGCAGCTGCACAGAAGCAGGGCCTCGCAGGTTTT